TGTAGTAAATGTCGGTCACAACGGTTTGGCCAAACTGGTCCTGAACACGACCAGAAATATTTGTTCTTCTGAATAAATTTTTCGTACGTTGACATTGAAAATGTAGGTAAGTTATGGTAGATATTTTATCGACTATTTCTCTGTAAACTGTTAAGTTATATAGTCGACTGTTGTAACTTATAAATTCGCGCCTTGTCACACCAGTCAGGCACGATCTGTTATTCTGTATTTTCATGAAGTTGATGTCTATCATCATATAGTGCTTTAAATACAGGAAAATATAGATCAAACTTTACTTAAAAAAAGTCTCTTTGTGAAAAAAAGTCATTTGAAAGTTGTGTTGATATAAAAGAAATAAAAGAAAATGGGTCAGAAAGAGCACTATGTTGAATGAAAAAAGTCTTAGTGTTTCAATAGAGATTCAACATTATTGTATGAAACAATAATATATGATATTACTGTATTATAATATGATAACTAAAATAGACAAAAAATATGAGAAAAAACATGCAGATGACAAAGAAATATGTGCATCTCTATCACTTGTTTAATGAATTATGTGACTGATGGATTGCTATCATATGTGATATTGGCTCATTCATATAATTGATAGTTGTTGGAGGTTGCTGTTGAATGTACGAAGTCGGGTATAGCTGATGATTTTGATTTATCATTGATGGCACATAACGATTATAGGATGTTGTTCCTCTAGGCTACTCAACAGTACCTGGGAAACAAGGGTCATGAATACAATCTTTTGCTGTGTAAATGGGGGTGCGTCAGAATATAGATTAGTTGAGCTTTCAAATCGATCATAAATGTGAATTGATTTGTAAGTTATTTTATTTAAGTTTACAATAACATAGCAAAAAAAAGAAGTTATTCTCTGTCTACCTTTGCATGTTTTCAATTGAGTTGCCATGTCAGACGTTTTTCTTTCTGTTTTTCCTCGTTCTGTCAAACTATACGGAAAACAAATTCCACACAAATCGCCTGCATATCAAAGAATATCAGAAAAACAAAATAGTTTCTTTATGATGATGACATAAAAGATTTATGTTTTAATTTTTTCTACATCAATAACTATCATAACCACTAAGAAAATGAATCTAACTAGAGTTAGAGGGAAACGACGACGAAACGGAATTTCGATGTAATGATGGAATGTGCATTCCAAAGAGTTTTTCATTTGATCCTGTTTTTGACTGTTCTGACGCCAGCGATGAGCATTTTTGGGACAGGAACATTTTACATTTATCCGTGCATGTAAAGCCACCTTATCGAGTGTGAAGAATATAACTGTGGATGGTTGACGTATTCTTGTGGAGATGGAGACTGTATTTTTAATGATGTTTGGTCCTGTAAAAATGGCCGGTATGAAGTCTATGTGAGATTAATGTTTGGATGTGTTTCAGATAGTTCGTTGAGCACAGTTTGCTGGAAAACAATGTTGTGTCTGATGGGTTTTACCGATCTGTTTGAAATTGACTTGAATGGGTGCCAGTTCGGTATCGGTACGAAGTTTGTATACCGGTGGCCGGTGCCGATATCGCATTTTTGATCCCGGTTACACCCCTGATGGGACAGCCATGCAATTCTTCGGTTATTGTTTACTCTGTTTGACAGAAGCGGTATGATGACTGGACGCGAACAGATTCTTCGTGTTCCATTTCTCCATTCAACGCTAAAACATATCTTCTACTTGATACCATCCAAAACAAACATCGGCGATTATTACGTGCAAGTCCATGTCTATTTGATCACGTACAGTAGTGTCAAACTGCATGCATCGATGGTACTTGCATTTTATATCAACACAACTTTTAAATGACTTTTTTTAAGTAAAGTTTGATCTATATTTTCCTGTATTTAAAGCACTATATGATGATAGACATCAACTTCATGAAAATACAGAATAACAGATCGTGCCTGACTGGTGTGACAAGGCGCGAATTTATAAGTTACAACAGTCGACTATATAACTTAACAGTTTACAGAGAAATAGTCGATAAAATATCTACCATAACTTACCTACATTTTCAATGTCAACGTACGAAAAATTTATTCAGAAGAACAAATATTTCTGGTCGTGTTCAGGACCAGTTTGGCCAAACCGTTGTGACCGACATTTACTACATTCGTCGATTGAATTCAGTTTTGTCCTTTGTTGAGACAAGAGTCTTCATGAACAATGGACGAAAAAGTAAGTTGAGGACAAAAGTAACTTGTTGAGAACAAAAGTTTTTGTTGATGGACAAAAGTAAGTTGAGGGAAAACGTGGTCGAACATATAGTGAGACTCACCCTTCTAGGGACTTGCAAATGCTGGTTCAGTTCTCTTTGTGTAGATGAAATATATCTGTTCTGATTTGGACACATCAAGAAACCATTTAACGGAAGTATTGATCATTTTTCTAAAACAAGAACGAGCAATGTCATATCTCTTTTTAAATTATTCAGGTGAAAATTCTACGGCAAACGAGTGGGGCCTTAAGGCTAACTGATTCATACTTTTAATTTGTGTTTTAATTCGCAATAAACCACTTGCTAATAAAAATAATCATTGATTGATACTTATTACTTCTCTATCACAATAAAAATCAGCAATGGTGAGTCCTCAGCAAGCATCTGGTCGTATGTAAAACGAATTTTCTTCTTTTGTATATCCAATAAAGCTTTGCGACAGCGCGATGTGCGAATATCCTGTTATTTTACTTCTACATTCGAGATTAGTATAATCCGTTCTTGCAAGAATACGAAATTTCAGGTAAAATAATCGTGTATCGAGGACAAATAGTGATAAAATTGAAAAATTAAAATATATACATGAAAAGAAATCAGGGTTACGAACGGTCACTGCAATCATGTCAATATTAGTTCGATGAATGGACTATGAATGATGAAAGTGACGCTGTTTTTTCCTATTTTTCTTTTTCTGAAAACTGGAAAAATCTTTTTTGAGCCAAAAATTGTGACTTTTTAGCACAAGAAAAATGTGTACTCTACATAAATACAACTTCAGAAAAACGGTAGCATAGATCTGACTAGAAATGCTGAGCTTGCGGGATTATTTAACAAGCACTCTTCGTGACATCCCGTTTAGTCTTACTTACTTGTTAACATTTTGTATATGTAATTCGTTTCTTAAACCGATGGCCGTACGATGAAGCTATCGCAGGTCCAGCAGAAAAGAGAAGTGGGACTGATTCTGATCTGCTTCAGTATCATTTTCATGTTTTATGCTTATCGATCGTTTTGTGGCTGTGGTTTTTTGTCGAAGGATGCAAACAAAGCACCGATTTTATAAATGTTCTATCTGAAATCATGGTTGATTCCAGCTGAGCTTGAATTGCTGATATTGATTAACTCGGCAACTTTAAGGATGAAAGAGGAGTTATTTTCAAACTTAGAATTTTCTTTAAGATCAATTCCATTGAATCTGGTGAAGAGAATCAGCTATTTAGACCATCAGACTCATAGGACAGGACACAAATAAAGAAAAATTTGATGTGATGTTGTTTGACAGTTCATGAAGTTGGTAATGGTCTCGCATTCCTAACCAGGTTCGAAAAGATGCATGAATATTACAAATACATATGATGCAACTGTTTCCACTAGAAGATTTAATGAGATCGGATAATTTAACAAAAAATAGATGAACAAAAAAGAAGAGATGTTTACAATTGTCAGTTGATTAGTACCGGATGGCATTAGCATTAAGAACAAAAAGTACTTGATCCGCACCATGGTTCAGTTGCAGAAATCTATATGGAATATGGCTTATGTGTCAGCCATTTAATATTGTTATGAAGCATTAGACTACATATAAGTGTTTGAGAACTGCGCAGATAGATGAATAGTCAAAACTTATTTTTCAAAACGTAAAGACCGAGCTCTCTAGAGGATGTAATAAATGAATAAATAATATCCAATTACTTATAAAGATGTTATTTCATGATATTCATTAACCAGCTCAGTTGTATTTCAAGGAAACCATGTTGAACAATAGTAAAAATAATGCTACTTCTGCACAAGTATCAATCAGCGCTAGACATCATAGCAAAGGATGGATCATAGCAACCTATGGACTAGACTAATCTTGTAGACATTCGAGCAAAGCAGTACATGGGATCACTAAGATAACCATAAAAAGAAGTTTGTAATACTGAAAATTAGTCATTATTTACTATGTGCCGTATATAGTAGCTAGTTGTTTTTAACAAAAATGTTTTTAGGTAAATTACTTTTAGAATGAGCATGTCTCTATTTGATTTCAATTAATCGTTCGCGTTATATAGAGGAACAACGAAACTCGGCGAGAACAAGTGATATTCGCTATTTTACTTATGCCTATGGTGTTAATACCATATACGATTTGGAGGAAATGCGTAATAAAGTTCGACAAGAAAAAATTGTTGACTGTTACCACATTAGTTAGTAATGATGGTATAAAGCGTTCAAATAACTTAACAACAATAACAAGACAACAAGAAGTATTATCATCACTCTACGATATGATTGTTATGTTAGAAAATTTAAGAATATCTGTGTCAAATACTGATCTAAAAGATATTTTGAATGTAACTGCCATAGGAAAAGAACTTTCTCTATTGCTTTTCAAGTTTTTACACACAGTGGTTAATGAGAGAGCACAAAATAATGTATGATGTTCAACACTAGAGTTAGTGATCGCTTATATTCGGCGAATATTACATACCGAATGTATGAATATTATCGTACCGAGACAATTGCTAACTGATTGGTATGATATATTGACATTGATGTAATTAATACATGATCCAGAAATTTGTTTTACTCTAACAAAAGTAAATCAAATATTAAATACAGCTTTGAATACAGCAGCATGGGCATGGGACATTCTAGAACCACAAATATAAAAAAATAATAAAAAGTATTTCTTGCATAGTGTCATTATTCATAATTAAATTTATTTAAAAAGCTTTTCTGTTTTCCTATATAGTACAATAAAAACGTCATAACTTATACTGTCTTTGATGGACCCGTCGCTATTACGTTCATTGTACCCGTTGTTATTAATGGTGTCACCGGAAGTCCCATTTTTGATGCATATGATGGCCGTCTTAACGCTAGTGTTTGCTGCTTTTGCACCAATGTGCATAAATCTCGAATTTCATACAGTGTGTCGGTTAATACATCAGCAAAACGTTTTGAATCGGTTGTTGAACAGCTTTTAAACGATGATATACAAAAGAGAAAATGATCATCACGAACATTATACGAACAACCGTAACCGTCAGGCACTACAGCACCATAACACATAAACGATTCAGGTAAATTTGTTGTGACCTAAAATATCTAACTGTGATAGATAAAAAAAAACATAGAGAAAAACATACTTGACTTGTTGATAGTGCAAAATGGTTGCTTATCTTATAGCTTTCATCAAGAAATAGTTCAGGTGTTGGAATCTGATAATCATGAGCGATTTGTTTTAATGCCAACATATGATTATCCATCCCTTGTCCGAGAATATTCTGAATCATTAAGTCTGTTTGTGCTTGCATTGCCCGACGAAATAATCGTAATTTTTCAGCGGCCTGTAATCAGATCAATTTCAAACAAAAATATATTACTGTTTATAACTTACCGGTATTCTATTTTCTTCGTCCATCATTGATTGTGCCCATTCTAGTGCTTCTGGTGTATTAGCTCGAATATTATCCACTCGTCCCAAATAGAATCGTCTGGTAGAAGCACTTTCGTATGTTGACACAAGTTTATCATACATTCTAAAAATTCTCTGTTTTAGTTACAATATAAAGAGAAGAAAGTTATCTTAATTATTTTACTTGAAATAGGTGAACTGTAAACTCATTTGAATAAATGCGTCCGGACTCATATTATGTAATTTGACAAATGCTTTACCATAATCATCAAACTCAAGTATACTTAGATCAAAATCATCGATTGAACTATAACATAATGATAGTATATTTAAAATACAAGTGGATCAATCAGTTAGGCAGACCTTCTTAATGTGTCTTTGGCAATTTTTATTTGTTTAAGCAAGAGTTTACTTAAACTCCATTTTAAACGATGTGGTGTTGGTAATTCGCACAAGGATTTTGATCGACGAAAACGATCTTGACTTTTCTCAGTCCTAATAGATTTTTGAACGAACTAATCGTGACTTTTATTAAGATATATTTCCACTTACATGTATCGAAATAAATGTTCTATTAACTGAATAACAGCTATACCTTCCGCTGGCGAATGTTCATAGTTTACTCCGCATGCTCCATCCGAACCAATAATGAACTAAAAATAATTGAATTAGATAAACTATGAATAAAATTTCAAAAATGTATCAAATTATACCTGCATTGTTTTATCGTACCAACGATTACAACAATTTAACATATTTTTTCCTCCATGTAACATTTGTTCGGCTAATGAGACAACATGACGTTCAACATCAAAATGTTTGTTTAATGCATTATCTTCATCGTCATCTGATCCCGATATATTGGTATAAATATCCCAATCTTTCTCTGCTTTATCCAAACATACGAGAAATATACAACGTTCAATTAAATCCAATGAATCACGATTTAATGCATCTAAACAACAATCATTTATATAGAATTATTATAAATTAATCTTTTTTATAATACTTACCAGTTATTAGTTCCATTCGAATTTTTCCCCACATTCGTCGTGGTAAGGATGAACAAATACCAACATCATCCGAAACAGGATCTTCATCGGTCATTTGAACAATACGTTTTAATAGTGCATATAAATCATCTTCATCCAGTCGTGTAAAATTAACAACAACATCCAATACCCAAAATGTATTTCGATAAGCAACAATAACATGTTCTGGTTCATGCATTACTTTAGTTTTTGTTAATAATAGACGATCTTTATCAGCACCCGGTATTCGATAACTTGAAAATAAACGATAATACTGTTCCATACAAAGTGGTTGACCTTTTTCACGTGATGTTGCACGATCAATAGGTAATTCTCGACTAAAATAGAATTGTTATTTATTTAAACATTTATTAGTAAAAAATTTATCAAAAGAGATAAATAATTATGGTAATATTTACGCATCAATTAATACTTTATAATCTAATATTCCACATATAAGTTTTGAAACAAATCTAAAATATTAATGAAATATAAGAAAAAATTTTTAAATCTATTATGTCTGTATTACTTTAGGTGATCATTTTCATCTTTGAAACTTTGTTTCGGTAATACGAGAGCAGGATTAGAATTAATTGGTAGAGCAAGAGGATTCGATAAATACATATCTGAGAGCCACCAGTTATAGGACTAAAAATTGATTTGTAGTATTTTTGTTGTAAATATTTGTATAATATAAATTGCCAGTTACCAAACCTTACCCAATTCTCTGTTTCAGAAGCATACTTTAAAAGTAATTCTTGAAGATGATGACCAATGCCATTAGGACTACAAAATTCTTCAACAAGTTTTTGTATGTACTAAAAACAATCTTTCTATCAATTAAAAAATACATGTTTTATATAAAGAACAACTGTAACATTTACTTCAAACTTTTCTGCTGGTAAAATTGGTTGAAGACAACGTAAATATTTATCTAATGTTAAATTCAAATCTGGTACTGGAAGTTTTGCTAGTTGTTTCTAAAACAAAAGTGCTAACATGCAAATAAAAAAGAAGATTATAATGGTTTTAAATCAAAAATTTAAACAGTTCAGTAATATTCTAAATACTAGTTATAGTAACACAATGTTAATATGTGTTACAATTTTACCTCAACGTCCCATTTGATGCAATCTTTATCCTCAGTTTGTTGTCTTTTGATACGTTTAATATATTTGTTAAGTGTTGGAAGTTGCAACGGTAGAGTTTCCATTACAGGATCTAAAATTAAACAATTATAATTTGTATTTTTATAAGGTCAACTGTGACAAATAAGGATAAAAGCAGATAATGGAAACGATACAGAAAAAATAAAAAAAGATTATTTTCACAGAAAATAGTAGATGAGCATTAAAAAAAAAATCTCATCAAACGTTTCAGAACGAGAATAACAATAATAATTCAATTTTATAACTAGTCAGACAGTAGTAGAAAAAAAAAAGCTTTTTCTATGTTTCATTTTAGTGGTAGTCAGTCATTCGCCCACACAAAGAAATGAAATAGTTTTTTGAGAAAATTCTTCTTATAGAATATTAACAAAACGTCTATGTAGGATGCTATACCTTGGTATATTCCATCGATCAATCTTCGCTACGTTTGTCACTGTTCATTAGTACAGACATATTTAATAAAACTCGTATTGAATTAAAATGAAATGAATATTATTTATAAATACTACAAAACATTGAAAATCTATTGTATTTCAGTACATTCGTCATTTTACTATGACTATTATCTCTATTATAGTCTCTAAATATCTTTATGAAAGGAATGTCACAGTTTCTAAAAATTTCTAAGTTTTAAGCTCGCTTGAAACGACTTATTTTCATGGAAAACTCAGTATTAGATGTCGACAGAAAGCTGTTCTTTTTTAATATCAGTTCATCCTAATTGATAACTTAAACAGCAAAATATTAAAGCCATAATTTTCTACTGTCAGAAATGTCCATTACAATTCAGTTAAAAATATGTGGATTCGTAATTATGTATATGGAGATAGTTCGGTATTTTAAACATATTTTTTAGCGATAAATATGCTACTAATCAAATGACATCATAAAACTGCAATAGTAAGTAATTTTATATAAAAACACAAAGACAGATATGACAGTGGTGATGTATTTTGACTGATACGTAATTTCAATTTGAAAATACATTCATGTATATTTGAATGGTATACACACATACACACATAAAGTTCCACGAAATAAAAGCATTAAATATAATGAACGTACAATCGACGAGTATGTGCAATAATGTACAATTGATAATGATATGTTTTTGATATCGGCGATCTGCATAGACTCTTGCGCTATACTATACAGAAGAATAAAAAAGCAAAAAAACACTAAGATTTAAACACACTAACAATCAAAACATCAACAACAAAAAAAAACTAAAACTAAAATAAAATAATGACATTACACGTAGATACACATTCCAAAAAGAAAATCATACTATAAAAAAAAACAACAACCGGTAACTTTTGTTCAAAATTTTTAGAAACATTCCAAAAATAAAACAAATATTTCTCAAATAATGAGTGCTATGTAAATAACAAAAACTATTCAATAAAATGAATAATCTATTATGCAACACAACATGATGAAATAATGGCTGATTTTCTTATAAAAACTGATAATACGTTTCATCTCACTGTCCTAAAGGTGATTAGCAACTACTTTACATACCAAAACTATGGCCATTATGAGAATAAGGCAAATTTTAGGTTACTTATATCAACTGAATTGTAATAGTTTTATTTTCAGTCTAAACTACACTAGAATAAACAAACCTTCAATTCTTAATAAAGCTAATCTTCTAATGACTATGGGATATTAAAAACATACAGAACAAAGACTACTGCTATAAACTGCTGATAAACTTTCTCTATAACTAAGGTATATCCGACAGCGACTATCCTAAGAATAAGTCTTTCACCGGTATGATTCGGCATCAAAAACAAATATTTTTACTTTAATAATCGTCCTCTTCTATACGGCCGATTAAATTTCCTGTATCTCTATGCGAACCTACAGCTTGACTAATATACTTAACGGTTCCATGCTGACCTAGATTTAATTGTGATGACGTTCCGCTACTACCACCAGCAAGCCACGGCGACGGATTTGGATTAACGACAGTATTATCATTGTTGTTATACGAGGAATGTTGATAAGTTATATTGTGTTTTGAATCAACATTATTAATATCACTATGTGCGAAATTATCGAGCTCTGTATTTTCCATGGGTTTATATTGATAAAAATTTCTCAGTATATAGAGTACGGGTGCGTAAGCAATGTTACTGAGAAATATCAAAATGTTTAATGTCAAAAAATTTGTTGCATAAACTATACTGCCAGCTACAATTGGTCCCATGGCATAAGCAAGTGAATAAGATATGTCTGCAATGGCATAAACACTGCCGTACACTGATGTATGTCGTACATCTACCAAATAGGCTAATGTCGGCAATAGAGCAGTATCAACCAGAGCAATACCGAAACAAATGCCACAGATGGGTATCATCAATGAACCAAAACCTTTGCAAAATGGTATAAATACACACATAATGCCTTGTAATGAGAGACCAACAGCAGCTAATAACCATTGATATTGCGGATAACGTTCATTTAGTTTCACAGTTAAATAAACACCTGAAACGTGAGGAATAAAACCTGGCAGCCATATTAAACCCATTTGCCATTCAGTTGCTTGCATTTGATCACGCATCCATATTGATATAGTTGGCTCTAAAAAAGCTAGACTAACATTGGCCATTGCCAATGCTCCAGCACAAACAGCTATATATGGATCGACTAACAACCGCCAAATAGGGGTACCTTTTGGCTTTGATATTGAATTGTGACTAGAATAATGAAATGCTTCGGCAAGACGTGTAGGACGCATAACAATAAATAACAGTACACCGTCTAACAATGCAATCATGGCTAATACAATAAATGGAACGCGTTTACCAAAAAATTCATACAATATACCTACATCGGAAGGAAATTAGATTGAAAAATGTCCTTGTAAAGTTTTAATGAAAATTACCTCCAAAGGGTGGTGCAACTAAACTACCAAAAGAGATGAAAGCTAGTGCAATTCCAAGTGCTTTACTACGTCCCGATTCATCTTGATAACGATCAGCAATCATTGCTAAAAAAATCCAAAAAGAAATAATTTTTGTTCTTTTAGTAGTGTTACATCACTTACCCAAGCCAGCTGTATCAGCAAATGCCGAACCAACACCTTGCATAGAACGTGCCAGAAAGAGGAGACCATATGATTTACCAAAAGCAAATGTTGATGTTGAGAAGAATATGACCACTAAACCGATACACATTGGTATATCATATCCAATTCGATCAATAAATGCACCACTAAATGGATTAACAATTAGCTGAACAATGGCTTTTGAACCAAACAATGTTCCAACTGCAACATCCTCAGAATCATCATCATCCATATTTTTTGTTGTATTTGTTGTATTACCACTCGGGGTCCATGCGCCAATACTTCGTAAATAATCTGGGATAATCGGTACCTCTCAAATAAATCGGAATATCTAGAAATTTTGTTAGATAATAAATAATTCTAGTCTATACTTACAATGACCATATATAACATATTATCAAGTAATAATGCCACACAGACAATAATCATAATTAAACGACGTTGTCGTTTTGGTTCCTCTATTATGTCTTGGATATATTCCCATAAATAGGAACCATTACGTTTTATGGTCGATAGAATAGCCATTGGCCAGATCCAAATTTTTAATCGTCTAAGAACTAAATTGATGTTAAATCATAGCTATAAATGATAAAGAAAAAAATTGATTTTGTTTTTTTTATTCTATTAATTTATTTAATAGATTCGACGTGTTCATGCATTATAGAGTTAAACTATTTTTTAGAGAAAAAAAAACCTATTTTCAGACGTCGCTTTAATAAGATCTTGTTCAAATGTTAAGTTCGAAATACAATAGTATCAATTTTTAAATGAAGCGTATATTCCTTAAGAAAAGCAGTACTTATCAGAAGAGTCAATCCAAAAACAGTTACCAATTAAATTGAAAAGTTTTTTTTCTCTCATTTCAATTCTTATTTAGAAATATTTTTATTTAAATTAATATTTTTTAAAAATAATTACTGATAAAATATCTTCCTAATATTTTTACAATACTTTCTATTTTAAATTAAAATTTTATAAGTGATTATTTTTAGTATATTCAACTTTAAAAATTTGATGTTGTCTCAATAGAGCTCAAGTATTACGTTTATAAATTAGATACCACTAGTAGATATAAATAGCAAAGGTCTAATAAATGTTAAGTAAGGCACTTCATGTTTAATATCATAAATGTCTCGTCTTGCGGCGTCGCTTGACTTCGAACATCCCTTACATATGAGAAAACAAGTAAAATTCTTCAATAATATGAATGTACAATTGGAATAATTTCTTAAATGCAAATAGATCGATCGTCTATCTTTTTTTCTTTCTTCTTCTTCTCCTTCGAATCAATTCCCATTTATAATCGAGTGTTTCCTCGAAAAGAAGGAGAAAACGATGACGACAACTTTTTTTTCTTCTTCTTCCCTATACAAATGAATTTACTAATTTAACTCTCTCTAGATCCATCCGTTTATTTAATAAAATGGAAATCGTCCATGATCAATTTTCGGTTATAATTCGTGAATATATTGAAAGAGAAAGGGAAAAAGAAGAAAAAAGTACGTTTCCATGATCGAATTCCATGAATACTGAAATCTTCTATATTTTTTAAGCTCCATTATGTGCAGAAGTACGCTGAAAAAAAGAAGTGACACAACATAATCGAGATTATGTCAGGGATTTAAACATGCGCTTCATAGGAGACAAGACGATTACATTGATCACTGATGGGTAAAAGGAGTTTTTCGAGACGAAAAAAAGAAAAAAAAGAAAAAGAAAAATGCACTATATAGATGGGAAATAAAATCATACGCTACTTTACATTTTTCATTTTTTTTTCTCATCTAAGAAATTGATACAATTTGAAAGATATTGGTTAACAATTTTTCATGTAGATGGTAAAATAAAATTTATTGATTACAGATGTGACATAAAACGTATATAACCGTATATATGACTAATATGTAACTCACTTTTTATTTTCTTCGATTCTACTAATTTTAGGATCAATCAACTAAATAACTAGCTCCTCATATTTAGTAATAAAAGTATTTAGAATTTTATCTTATGCTTATTAAGAAGCAGTAGGTAAAACGAAAATCATAAAACAAATTTTCAGTATTATAACATATATGTTTGAGAATAGTGATTAAAACTCATTCTATCCTGAATACGTTGAATAACATATAATCCGTATGAATAAATCTGAATAATAATGATTTCAATAGTAAAAATCACAATATTTTCGCACACTTTGCTCGATGTTACAATGTTCCTGTTATTAAACGATAAATTTTTTTAAAGTTTTAAAAATTTATTAACAGATCTTTTGTTATATTATCATCACTAAGTGAGATAATGCTAACTTAACGTTTAGAAAAACATAATTGAAATTTGCTTTTGACCATTTATTTGACCATGAAACTTTGAGAAAAAATGTCGTTTAATAACAGGAGCATTATAGCATAGAGCAAAATATGCGAAAATCTTGTGATTTTCAATATTATTCAGATTTATTCATACGGATTACATGTTATTCAACGTATTAAGGATAGAATGAGTTTTGGTCACTATTCTCAAACATACATGTTATAATATTGAAAATTTGTTTTGTATTCTGTTCAACATACAATAGAAATCATGGTTAGACCTCGAACGTTATTTCTTGTCATTTCAGAAAGTCAAAGAAGAAATTTATCACAGAAGTGTTTCAACTAAGAAGTCATTCATTATAAATGTAATTAGAAATACAGATGATATTGAGCATTTACTATTTTTCGGCAAAAATACTTTTAATCGAAATCTTTTAATTAAAGACTATTTATGATAAAATTTTGATTTATTACTATTCAAGAAATTTGATAAGGGGACGGACAGTGAAAGCCATTTTCTAAAAATCCTCTTATTTTATGATCTATAGTATTGCTGTCAAGTCGTACTATATTTTGTCATTTTCCTGATAAAAAGAACAGTTTTATTCATTGAAGTAAAACGGATGAGAGATAATCTGATGGTCGATTTGTGTCTGTCTTAGTCTATGATTTCCAACTATGCTATGATTTCAATCTATCATAGTGATGAAATGGCAGATTTTGAATCTAAATCGACAAGATTTTTTACTTGTTTTGCATCACGAATCTTTATTTTTATTTTTTTTTGTAATCAATCATTAATCGAGTTTCAATCACTTAATATTATAGAAAAATAAATATACAACAACAAATCCAATAGCCTTGATTATCTCTTCTATTGAACATACACACACTAACTGTTATTATTATTATTATTATTATTATTATATATGACTTCGAATGCTCATTATTATCTATTTTATCATCATAAAAAATGATTGTTAGAAAAGAGAAGAAAATCTCAATTTTGTGATTTTGATTTCGAAATAATAGTAACCGTAATGAGGTGTTAACTATAATGTACATAGTACTTGATAGAAAAGACAAAAATAATTTGCTCGAGGGAAAAATGTTCATCATTTATGATGGTAAGATGAGAAAAAAATCTAGACATACCAGTCATTCGAGTATGAACAACAAACTCAATGAGTAATAAACAATATTTTTTTGTTTTTACATTCATTAAATTATACTAAAATAATTTATGGAACAACTTAACCTTTCAAGAAAAGAATATTCGATGTACTACTGTAACAGGAAAATCGATAGATTTTATAATAAATACTGATCAAAAACTAGACCTGTAGTACTGTATCGTTAAAGTCAACTTTGTTCTTTTTCATTCTCAAATAAAAACTTGCGTGTATCTTATTTAACGCATATAAACGACATTTCTACACCTTACCGATGATTGATATCATTTTATTTACTTATTACTATGTGTGCTAAACGTACTTAAACTAGTAAAAAAGTTTTTTTTATCTGATTCATTAACGGGTAGAGACGAGAGTTCTTTGATTTTTCTTCTAAGGTTAAAATTCTGGATTTCTGTAAAATGTTAAACAGATGGGATAACTGAAATTTTATAGTATTACTTGTAATCTTATTTGCCAGAATATTTCCACACATCTATCTCTAACACTTCTGCTCTGTTTTCTTATTCTACGAATTGTATGCAATAAAAAGTATTGTCCATTTATGATTTAAGTCGTCAGTTTTTCTCAAAAAATGTTATTTCACTACAATTTCAAATAATATTGAGTTTTTAATAAAGATCAAATGGGTGCTTTTTTTTTATTACTATTGGTATATTATTTCTCATACTCATATCATGTAGTAACATATTGAACTAATGAAGTTGACCTACAATTTTCTAAAATATCATATAATTGAAATTTAAAACATACTTTGAGAGAATTAACAATGTTGCTCTTTTCTTTTTAAATTGTTATAGTCAAGTATTGAAAGATTTTTATATCGTTAGTACTAATGATGATCATCATGTTGTTTTCCGCTATATCAGATTATCATATTTTAAAAATGTGGTCTTTCTTCAAAAGAAGACGAAGAAGAAGAAGGAAGAAGGACAAAAAAATAAAAATACTCCTATTTATCTTCCAAGTTAATAATCGACATAGAGATGCTACATTTCCTGCAGTGTTGAACATTTTTAATGCACAGAAAATAATTATGTCTATAATTTTGTTACAACTATCTGTGTTTATTTCCCTCTACCTACGTAGATTGAAAAGCCATCTTTTCGACATTATAATAATAGCACAGAGTCAAATAATGATAATACAACTCAACCTACTTCCGTTCTGGCTGCTTTTGATCGATAATAGATTCAAGCACGTAAAGAATGGCACACCCACGTTGAATAGAGAGACATGATAAAAATGAAGGGTAGTAAAAACCCTGGTTTATTATAATGGCTCTCTTTATAATAGTTTTCTCTGATTTTTAAATTCTTTACAAGTAGAGTTTATCAGCTAAAAATATAGCAAAAAACTTTCTCCAATTTCTAACAAATTTTTAAATTTTTCACGATCTTTAAATTTTTGTGACGCTTCTAGTCCAGTGGAATGTTTTCTCTTGTTCTCATGGTTATTAATATTCTTTTTTAAATAAGGCTCATTTAAAGAGCAATTATTCAAAACGATTTGAAGAACCTCTACCATTATTTCAGTCACCATCTAACTAGAAAGAACGACGTTTTGTCAAAATTGAAGGAAGCAACAACGCTAATCTTATAGGACTGTTAGTTCTTATAGGGCGATCGTATCAGAAGGAGTACTAAAAATTATATTATATTGCTCCTGTAGACATTGTTTTTTGCTCAAATGTAGAGGCAAGGACTTCACATAGAATTACAGTTTAAATGAATAAAACTTAAGATCCCTCACCTTTTACTCACGATAAGGATGTCGTATCCGCCCGCTATTAAACGTAGAGGAAAAAAGACTCTCATTTTCTTATTTTGTAGGTTAAATTTAAGGCTTTAATTTAGAGAGAAAGAGAAAAACATTACGGAAATAAGATCGTCTATTACCAAAAAAAAGTCCGTTCACAAAAACAAAAGTGCTTAGATTTTTGTTATTTTTAAAAGTAATTATATATATTTGTATTTGAATTGCATTTGAATTTGCTCAGACCTCGAAAGTTTGTATATTC